GCCTACCGTCGGCTGGTCAGCAGCCGACGGGCCGGGGGCCGCCGACCGTCGGCGTTGACTACCCTGGGTACTCGGAAAAAAAAAAAGAAGCCCGGGTTTCGAAAGTTCCTTAGCCCCCTCCCCTGGAAAAAATATCGAAACGCCTGTGTGAAGTTGGAAGCTGTTCCCACCCTGGCCTCAAATTTGTTTTTGGGGGAAAGGCCTGCAAAATTCGAATATTTGCAGGCCTTTCCCAAGAAAACAATTTGGGGCATGGCCGGTTTCCAACCTCACTCACCTCACTCGGCCAGCCCTTTGTACAAGGGACTGGCTCATGAAATTGCGAGTCGCGCCACAATCCGCCCTGGCCCCAAATTTGTTTTGGGGGGAAAGGCCTGCAAAATTCGAATATTCGCAGACCTTTCCCAAGAAAAAAATTTAGGGCATGGTCGGTTTCCAACCTCGTGCGGCCGGCCCTTCGTATAAAGGACTGGCTCATGAAATTGCGAATCGCGCCGCTATCCAGCAAAGCGCTGCAGAACGCTTGCCCAACTTGGATGCGGACGTAAAGGAGCAGTGCCTTGTTGTCATCGTACCGCTGCGTGTGAAACTCATGGGCCACCTTGGTAATATAGGCAAGGAGGTCCCCCACCGCAGCTTCGTCTTCTGTCAGCGAAGTTGGTGGTGCATAGAAGGACAAATCTGTGTGGAGATGAGCGCATAGTGCTGCACATTGCGGTCCCGGTAAGCGGCCCATGGAAGGGAGAGAAAGTTATGCAAAATCCCTTGGCGACAATGGGTCAACGACCTCTATGTTGAACTTGTGCGCCGAATCCCTTAAAGAACCACTTGAAGACGATGAACTGTCGCTGCTTCCGTGCGGAGAAGAAACCACACACACACCTTGTCCTTGAGCTTGAGATCCCAACGATGAAACGATCCGGGCAGCGAAGTCCTCGAAAGAATGAAGAATGGGAGGATTTACAACTTGAGATCAATGCATTCTGCAAAGCATCAATACGTTCTGCAACGCCGGGCACAACCTCGTGATTAAGAAGTGCTTGATGCCCACAAAGATGAGCGGCAAGTCGGGCGTGGATGCCGAGCGTTGGTACTCGGTGATCCAGTCCGTGCTTGGCAAGGTGTTCTGGTGGAAATTTAGGAGTTTCTCCATTGCCTGAAGCTCAGGCGGTTCCACTTGGAACCGCTTCCGCCATGCTGCCTTGAGATCTTTCCAACTGATCTT